TATACAATTCTGTTTTCATGAAGAAAAATGCAAACATAGTAACATATTTTATTATTCCTCATTCAAACACACACATAAACAAACGTAAAAGGCTATTTGGTCATTATCATCATCACTGTCAAAGTCCATAACCAATTTCTTTGCATTACCACATTCCTTTCCATTACATGAGCAGATCTCTGTGGAGGCTCGAAACACGACAATGGCAGCTGTGTACACCACTGCATCCACTGTCAGAACAGTAAAGAAAGGTTAGATCCCAAACATTTACTCGTACTGCATCTTTCAACCAGAATAGTGGCTACAACAAGCCCTCCTGTCCAACTTTTCAGCCATTGCCAATTGGGTTTTTAAGAGTTGGTTTTGGATCACGGCTGCGGCACCAACTTGTGGCTTGATAATGAGATCGTTTACATGCTGGCGAAAGGAATTCTCTGTGGGAGGGAATGTGGACAATAACTTGTCTGTTGTTGTGGCTAAGACATACCCCAGTTCATCCAGAGTAGAACATAGTTTTCCATTCTCCTTCTTTTGATTTCCATAAAGGGATAAATGTATGATCGAACTGCTGGTATTCTCTCCTGGAGGTTTGTTGTCACAAATGATGCCAATGCAGACTACATGTCTTGATTCTGTTGTAGCTTGCTGAAAACTGTCTTCTTTCCTATTTTCAAGAAGCTGCTCGTGGTGTCACATCCAGTTAAAACATATATGGTTAACATTGACATACAGAGTCTCCCAACTGTTCACAGATGGTCTATATGAGTGTAAACTTTTCTCTGTTGATGTATTTACCACCATGCCGTGCATGCATATACATTGATCCTGGTGACAGTTCTTTACTGCAATAGTACAACAGCAATAATAGAACGTCTGTATTATCAGAGCGAATGATGAAGTGGAACTTCATCCTGGTATCAACTTCTTAATGTGTACTGTAAGGACCTTCTTCATCGATGATGCCATCACTTTTTATGCATTTGATATGGGCCCCGTTTGGAAACCCTCCTGCTAGCAAAATGCTGTGGTCGTCTACAAACACATTTAGTGCTATTTCCAATATTAGTTGTTGATGAATTCTGCTAATGCTGCCTTATTGTTAGAGTTTGTCAAAAACTTATGATAGTTTGGAACTATCCATTTTCGTGATCTTATGCCTTGCAGAAGGACCATCACAACTCGTCCCTCGACGAACTCTCTCAAACTGATTGATGGAGTGGACAACATCATATTGATCAAATACAAACACAACTGTATCAATATCTAGCTGTCTTTTTAGCAGGGCTATTATGTGCGACAGTATGAGCTATCCAAGATCGTCAAATGAATAAATGGGTGCTTCTTTCTGATACAGGAGAAATGTAATTCAATTGATCATGTAAATAATTTGACCATTGAAGTGTGTAAGTATGTAAAGCTCTTCACATGTGGCTTTTATCTTCTTAGCAAGGTTAGCTTTAGTGGATTACCTCATGCTTCCATCATCATGAAATAAGGCTGATGGTAAAGCTGTTAGTTTATGTTCCATTACTATCTGTAGACTTAATTCCCTCTGCTTTGTAACAGCCAAAAGCTGTCTTAATAAATCCTCTGAATCAACCATGACTTTTACTTTTTTTTGTCTAGTTCACTGGCTTGTGCATGTCTAAAAATGTTAGTAACTTGTTCCATGGTTCAGTGTCCTTATAGCTGACTGATCTGTTTCTGCTACCAATCTCTTATACATGAAATCTTTGTGTCTCTTCTTGTCCACATATAGAAATCCAGCCAAACTAATGGTCACCTCGGGTGAAGCTACCAAACCTATGATTATACTGATGAGTTCAGAAAGACAAGTGGCAATATTTTGTGGATTTTGATTCTGTATGATAACATGAATCATTTACACAGGAATATATTTGACATAGAGACTCTTGCCTGCTGCTTGAAACCATTGAATAGTTTCCGGTGTTACGTTGTGGTGGAGATAAAAGTTTCCTTCTCTTTCTGATCAAAGTAGATGAAGCAGATCTCGTGCTCCTTTCATCAAATCATACCAGAAAGCAAATGTAGCTGAAAGCTATCTTTCAGTGGCTCTAAACTCCGTGATGAGTTCCTGGATCCCTGGTATGTATTTATTTTCAACTTGTATGGCTATACTTGAAGACATCATTCTGTCGGACTGGGTAAACACCTGCTGAAAATCATCGACCTTCTGCTGCAATACCACATTGTTGATTGTTCAATTGATCAGCTGGAACCATGATTGCATAGCAATGCAGAAAACTCTACACAATGCTTCAGAGACTATCATAATACCTCTATTCACATGTGAAACATTTTTGCCTTCAAACATCTGTCGAACAGTGGTTTGAGCATAGACACTCGACTCAGCAGCACCAAAAGAACCACATCAGTGAATATTATATCATTAGTAGCCTGAAAGTCCATTATAATGTGCATTACTCCGAGCCTCATGGTAACTTTTTTCTCTAGTGCTGGTGGCTTAGCCTAAATCATTTGTTGGGCTTTGCTTTAAATAGCCATATCAGCAGTTACCAGTATGTGTGACTGACCAATCTTCTCTGAGACTTGAACAAGTTTCCTTAAGATTGTATATTT